ATCCATCCAAGCTGTAACCGTCTCTTAGCACAGAAGCCAACAAGACAGCTGTATATGAATACAAATCAGTTACCATTCATCCCCTAGATATATGTTGCTTTCTTGCACTCATGGCCCACAGTCTTCCCAAGCAACAGTAACTTCCAACAAGACAACTTGCCAACAGCCATTTTCAGACATGTCCTGTGGAGGATCTTTGGAGAATTAGGTCCAGACTTTCTCCACAATTTACATTTCACACATGCACAATGCAGCAGACGATTCTGTGCTCAAACACAACAAATCCTCCACAGGATTCAGGTGAGAGCTGGTGCAGCAGGCAGAGGAAGAACATAATGATATTAATTCCACTGACGAGATCACGTGATTTTATTTACAGCACATTGACACCGGTGTCGGCTCTTATCACCACAAACTCACTTGACATCTTCATTGGTGTCTTCTACGTGTCTGGCTCTACTTTTTCATTCTGCAATATTTGTTCTTGCTGGCGGTGAATCTAGCGGGGGATCCACTTCTGTGTTCTCACTTTGGCTCCTACGCACTTTCTGTGGACTTTACACTTGGGGGCCAGGCCGAGAAAGTCCAGAGCTTCTCACTCACACTTTTGCGTTCGCACTTACACCTTCTCTGGAGAAACTGCCGGCGATCTCTGGCGTTGTCTGAAAAAGCAGTCGAAAAGTTAAAATGTTTAGTGTGTAGAATTTTGTGATATCTAGTGAAGTTGCATGTTGCAGCTGAACACCCCTCACCTCACCCTCTCCTTCCAAACATGAAAAAGAACCTGTGGTAGCCTTTAGCTGTCATATAAACTCAAAAGGTGTTTAGTTTGTTCAGTCTGGACTAATGTAAAAAACATGGCGGCCTCTTTAGAGAGGACCCCCTCGATGTAAATATAAAGTATTTAAATATAAAGAGCCTTTTCTGAGGTAAAGAAAACTACAATTCATACAATTTAGATGAAACGAACTAGTGAAAACATAATGACGATTATTAAATTTCTGCCAATAGTTCCCTTTCACCTAAATCTTACATACTGGACCTTTAAGACATTGATTACAACTTAACATAGTGTGGTTATACTGTATCATTTAAATCATCAATCTAAGTGCAGTAATACATTTTAGTGTTATCCACAATACTATAGAGTTTTACAGCCTTTAAAACTTGACACTTTTGGAGACACTGTTGGCCAAACTTTAGTTTGCAAACTCTGGGGGTTGAAGCTCCCTCTGATTACCGCAATCACCTCTATCACAAATACAGATGAAAATACACCAACACTACAATATATTATAATAAACTGCATTGCACAGTGTGTTAAGTAGTTTGGTAGACAAGGCAAACCTGCAGTTGGCGCACTGTTGAACACAGTTTAAGTGGGAAACCAAACATATAATTGCGTGGATGGAGTGTGGACGCAAGAGCGGACAGCTTGACAGGATTATATCATTTATCCAGCAACACGCTCTGGAATCTATTGTTTTAGAAAGATCTGCAGCATGTGTGTTGGCAAATGATCAAATCACAGCTTAGCAGGCGGTGGTGCAGAGGTAGAGGACTCAGTGATGCAGAGAGCAGATACAATCTTTAAACTGTGAATTTATCTGCCTCTCATTTCACAGCCCAGTCATAACTGTCAAGTTTGTGCATGTGTACGTAGAAAATGACTTTATGATAATCATGTTCCTTTCGGATACTTTATTGACAACATGCTGCATCATCCTTTACTATTAGATCTACAGCAAAGTTTGTAAGTTAGATAAAACGATAATGATGTTTAAAATCTCATCCAAAAACTGTCAAATGTGGTTCCTCTTGATTATACACTACCTTTTACAATATTTCCACAATACCATTATAGTTACAAAATGCAATAGACAGCAACAAGATTACATTTAACTGTTTGCATGTGTACGACTTACTTTGAGTAACTTTTGTTGTAGATTTGAGCTCCACAATATTGCACAATTACTTTGAAAGGCTTTAAGTTGTGGGTGTAGCCTCAAATATACAAGCAGAAGGCTCAGTCTCCTTGTGAAATAAGCCTCAGCCAAACTGTTAAGTTGACAGTTGGCTCCAAACCCTCCCTGTGGCCTGCTGTGGGAAACAGACTGCAGTGCTGCGCCCACTCCACCAAATGTGTATTCTCTGAACGGGGGTGGCTGATATTTACAGGACACGTGATGGTGTGAATTTAATTTGCAAAACAGTGACATTGCGATTTGCGGGGAGAGGTTGGGGTCGTTATCTGCATCAGTCTGAAATTCACACATCAAGGACCTTGCTTTCACTTCGAGAGGAAGAGTGAAGGAGCGAGCGAGTGATTTACAGCAAGAAGGAAATGACAGGAAAACACCATCAGGAGAATTTGTTGGCTTATTAATGTTAATTGATATTTACAATGATTTTCACCTCGTTTATCCACCAGTGAATAACAACTAGTCATGTGAACATAAAGCATGCTTGAATCCTGTAGAGAAAATAGGAGCTGTAGTGCCATGCTGATTGGAGACTGGAGTGTTTTGTTATTGTGTTGGTTAGTGATGTGTAAAATCCTCCACCTACCAACAATTTAATGACCCTCTCTCTCTCTCTCTCTCTCTCTCTCTCTCTCAACTCTATGCTGGCTCTGTCTGCTCAGTCATAACAAGTCACACAGACATATAGCCACAGAAACAGGAAATGGAAAGATTTGACTTTTAAAATAAAAGTCCTGCTGTTACTCGCTCATTCATTCCAACAAACCAACGATTGCTGAATATCTTACACATTACGTATGAGATTTATATTTTTGTGTTTGAATAAAAGATATTCCTCAACAGAAACAGGTAACAAAAAATGGGAGCACTTGTTTGTCCGCTGGCATGCCAAGTGCTCCGTGCCTCTCTTCAAGTCTAATTAATCACTGATACTATTGACTTAATAGTCCAAAAAGGCTGTGAGAAGACAATGGTAGTAGGGCCACATGAAGATGGTGCCAGCAGTGGAAGTAACAACAGGGCAGGGCCACGCTACAACAGATGATAAAAATAGCTGCAGCTGTGGAGAGTGCTGACTTTTCACAATGCAAAACATTATCTTCAGGTCCAGAACAATACCACACCCACATCCAAACTGGGTGTGGCATTGGTGAGTTATGTGTTAGGTTTATATTGTCAAGTGTGACAAGAAGTTGAGATTGTATATAATCAATGAGCAGCGATACCTGATTGTTGTCAGAATGGATAAAGATGAATGAAATGTTGAATCGGAAATAGCTTTGTTGAGCTGGCTCATGTTCCGACAGTAACCATCTGATCAGTGGGTGTTGGAAAAATGGTTAAAAAAAAGGAGGGTGTGACAAATTCAAGGTCCAAGCTTTTTTCAAAATGCTTTCACAGTCACTATGACCCGAGAACGTCCTATTATACCTCTTTCACACCAAAATTAGCAGAAAGACGATTAACTCCTTTTCCCCCCAGTGTGAGACATCACTAACACAACTGAGACGCTGTCTCATCTTGCTGTCATGCCAAATAGCACTTTCACCTGGGTGTCATGTTTTCATCCCTGCTGATTGGAGCTGATTAAAACCTGTCTACAGTCTTTTGAACTGGGAGTGAATACAGATTAAATCCATTCCATTGCAGACAATTGCCAAATGTTTTTAGCAGGTGTCATTGCGGTTTTTGACCAGTGGAAAAGTCTCTGTAACAAACTCCTGTAGAGAAGCATGGAAGTAAGAAGAACGATAGAGAGGGAAACCCAAGACGGAAGGTTACATAAGAATATTCTCCTTTACCTCAGACCTCTATTGTTAGTCTGTTGGTAAGTTGTAAATATGAATGGGTCTGGAAAGATATAGGAATGTCATTATTCTGTCCATTCTAGGGGTTGCTGGGCTCCTGTACCGGATTGCTAAGCAACACTATTCAGCATGGTCAGCTTGCTTTATCCTGGATTTCATTCAGATTGATTACAACTAAAATGATGAATAATTTTGTCCATTGACTGAAACAAAATCAACAGCTATTGTGTAGAGACGACACTTTTAGCGCTGTGAAGATGCATTTGGAGCGGCTGTGGCTGAGGGGTAGAGCAGTATTCCTCTAACCGGAAGGTCGTCAGTTTGATCCTCAGTCTTTCCCATCTGCATGCCGAAGTGTCCTTGGGCAAGATGCTGAAATTGCCCCTCACGGAACAAAAAGGTGCTGCTAATAGATCACTGTATGAATATGTGTGTGAATGGGTGAATGGAAAACTGTACTGTAAAGCACTTTGAGTAGAAAAGCGCTTTATAAATACAAACCATTTACCATTGACTTTTTATAGGATATCGTGGTTAATTGTTTGCAG